TGTATAGATTAACAAGAAATCAACAAGGGTTTAAAAAAATTCATGCTATTGCTTATGTATTAAATGGATAATAATCAATACCCATTTTGAAACCACAACATAATACACAGCAGCAGATAAGAAAATAATTTAGTGACATAAATTAATTGATAACATTAACCTACCCCATTAAATAACCCTTGTACAACCTCTGCAACATCTGATGCGGAACTAGGATCATCCCATCCAAATGGCATGTGGTTCAGCGTTGCCATTTGGAGCGCCTTCTTACCAGTGTAGTCTAGAACATGTAAAGATGAAACATTTGTTGTAACACTTACCAATAATAATAATGATAATAATAATAACAACAACAAATTGAAATAAAGTTTATTTGAGAATATGTTAGACAGGAGGGGTAGGGGGCCTGATCCCCCATGCTGTTGGCTCTATAGCAAAATCCTTAGGATACAACCATGAAGGTGATGGCTATTAATTTAGATATTCATTCATTTCATGGTCACCCACACAACAAATCATGTGATATATTAATGTAACTATTTGTAACTGTTTGTAATTATTATAATTGCCTTCAACTCCAAAAAATTCAAAAAAGGATGTATGTTGCAAATGATAAGTGACATACACATCAAAATCATATTAAAAATATGAACGTGTCAAGCTAAGTAAACATGAAACACCAATCATAAGTTCTTATTATATTACGGTCATATAGAATTTGACCCAAAAAAAACACAAACTATTAGGGACTGTTATACATGACAATTATTTTACCTCTTATGTTTTTGTCGCTGAATAGGGACATACAACAACGTAAAATTGTTGACTTCCCAGTCTCAGTGTCCCCAGTTAGTAGGACTACTGGGCACGATGAATTTTTTTTGTGAATTTTAGTATACCCAAGKGACATCACAGCCCCCCCAATTGCCATGCATGCGGCCGGGTAGTTGTTTACCATTAACCTTTTAATAGCCCCAATCAGACTAGTTAACCCTTCTTTTTTGGGCTCTTTTAACGTTTCCGATGAAATAGGGACACCTGAAACAAATAAAATATAGATTATAGATTTTAAATTTCCGAAAGCCCTAGTGATAGACAACCCAAAAAATTAATATCAGGGATGATATCCCTTATTTTCTGATATACTTTTGATGTACTTGACGTATATATGCGTACAAAAGGATCAGAATTTCTGCTTATGGGTGTATATATTTTTCTAGTTCTTTTTCTAGTTTTCTGTTTTGCATATCATTAAATATACTGAATAAATTAG